AGAGCCTGAGGTGTCTGCCACTGTCTAGAGTGCCCCTTTCTGCTGTGCTCCATGTTCAGCTTTCACCAACCCTTGCTTGTGAAGCCCCTCTCACTCACCTGCAGAGCCAACACCCTCCATGCTGCATATTTTCTTCTGCAACACGCAGATGCCTCTATGCTGTAAATACACTTGGACATCTATGTCTCCATGCTAAACCAGCAGCTCTCAGAGGGCAGGACACAGTCTCCCATGCCCTGAGCCTGACACTCAACAGGCACTGGTTACACCCTAGAATTCCTTCAGCATAAGAGCTCTCAGGGTCCTCCTCCCAGAGAGGTGGAAAGAACTGACTCCACTCTGATACTGATGCTCCAGGTCACCAACACTTTTCTTGGAGGGAATTCTCAGACGACAGAAGCCTGCTCAGCTGACTAGATGCTCTGCAGCTTTGCTTCTCTGCCAAACTTGTCTTCAATTATATGTTTTTCATTTATCTGCAGTCTGCTCAATTATACCTGTTTTCAATCACTATAACCATTTTTTGGCTCCTGGACACTAAGGATACAGCTGGGGGGTTTTGTTTTGTTATTGTTTTTTTTAAATAAAGAGAGAAATATGTTTTAAAAACCAAATTAAACCCCAGAAGGGTGCCATGTGCTTTTAATCCTGGCACTTGGAAAAAAGGGGGATCTCTGTAAGTTCGAGGCCAGCATGGTCTATATAGCAAGCTCCAACACAGACAGAGCTAATAATAGAGATCCTGGCCACCCCCAATAAATAAATTAAAACCTTTAAAAAATAAATTAAGGAATATTCAGCTCTTGGTGGACTTGTAATTAATCCCCACTAAATTTTTATTATTATACCAAATAACTATTCTATAGTTTCCCTTTGTCTCATAGAGAGATGCAAATTGTTAATCACAAACATATAAAATTTATATGATTAGTTTTTCTAGTCTTCTGAAATTTACTCTGAATAATTTAAAATATTCCTTTTTACCTTATAGCACTTTTTACAATAGAATAAGAATTGAAAATAAATTATTCTGTAGTCTGTACTCATGACAAGTGTACCTTTTAAGTTTACATTCCTCCTATATGCAACATACAGTCCTTCTTCCTCTTTCTTTCCTTTCTTTCAAGTAAACTTGTAAATCTGTGTAGTTGAGACTCCTGGCTCAGCTCCAAACCTTTGTAAATAGCAAGCGTTCCTTGTAGCCAGAGCCACAGAGAAAGCAGCTTTCCAAATGTCCCTTCACAATGCATCTTCCCTGAGCTGCTTTCTTGTCTAGGTGCAGTGAAGACCACTGCTGGCTCTATGTACACCAAGTCTTCACATGCACTTGGTTTAAGAACAAAAATGTTCTGCTTCTACCACTAGCTACCAAGTTAAACCAATTCTCAACACTTAGAAAAACTGCAAATCCAGTTCAGCCATCCTCCATGGGAACACCAAAAGCTACCCGTAGTAAGGGAATCCTGCTACATCTTAACTTATTAAATCATCAGTTTACCAGATATTCCAGATAGAAAAAAATGTCTCATTTCCCAAAATAAAACATATATAAAGTTAAAATTAAGTGAATTCATTCATTAAAGAGACAACTGTTTCCTTTCATTTTTAAAAAACCAGTAATTAAAAACACAATGTACAAAAAAAAAACCACAATGTACTTTGTGCTTATTTCTTATCTATAGTTTCTAAATAAAGAAATGAACATGCTATAATAGAATCCACCTACCTATGCAATGTTGTTAATTTTTTATTTACAAACACATTATTTGCCTTAAAAAATGTCAGTCATATCTCAAACACTCTAGGCTTCCTCCCAACAGTAAAACAGGTTTCTAACCACCTATACTGGGTTTTTCCAATATGAGCAAACATTTCCAAGGGAGGAAACATAAGTGCTTGTTCTAACAAGTGAAGGAGGCTCACAAACATTAGTGGAAGGGGAGTGTTACTGCGATGCTGTTAGTTACCAGGAAGCAGCTGGACACCAAACTCAGCAACTTGTTCTCTGAGGTTTTAGCGCAGGGTTAGCAACACAACACTGAAGACACTCGAAGGGAACGTAAGTCATAAGCCACCTGAGACTTGGTGCTATAGCTGCCCAAACATGGTGATTCCCCACAAGGGAATGCAGAAAGCGGTGGAAGGACTCACCACACTGCCAGTCTGTGTTTTGGGCTGTTTGGAGGAATCCAAAGCAAAGATAGTGTATTCAGAGAGAAAGGCAGGCTCTGCTACCATCCCGGCTAGAAGCTGTCTCAGTCAGTGTAACAAGTAGAGGCACAAAAACAAAACAAATGATGAAATACAAATCATAGAATGATCTCAAAGCACAATACAACAACACTCAATGCTACAACCACCGTCATAATGATCACCCACCACCAAGAAACTGTAAGCTTCTGGGATGGACCCAGGATGGGATGAACTAACGAGTTTAGGACTTCAAAGGGCTAACCTGGAAGCCACTTGCTAATTGATATACATATGCTGCCTACAGCAGGCATCGTGGCGCCCAATGTATCTGGCAACATGGTATAAAGATCCACTCTAACATAAACAATGCACAAAGTGCAGAGGGTCAGTGGTGTGTGGTGAAGACGCTCTGAAGATCTACTGACAACAGTGGCCACGACAACCAATAGTGCACACTCCAACTGTTCTAGGAGGCTACAGCGTAGACACCATAGGAACTCTTTTACTAAACCCCACTCTCCTCCTCAACAGCAGTAGCAACAACAGCAAAATAAAGACAGGAGGAAACTTCAGGAGGAGATGGGTATTGGGGTATAACTGTAGCCAACATTGCCAGCTTCCCACATTCATCCTCAACTCACTATATACTTCAAATACTTTTATGTCAATCATACCTTAGTAAAGTGCCTTAAAGATAAATGTAAACGACACAAACCCTTAGCATAACTCTTACAAATACTAAGATGTATTCTTTAGAGACTTTAAAAGACAGCATTGAAATATGCAGAAATGATAAAACACATACAAAAACTTTACTAATACTTATACGCAAAATCACTTTTATCAAAAGTACATACATAAGAAACTTCCGAAATAAAATCTACAAGACTAGCTCTTTTGGTACATATTCTTTTGTGCTTTTTCTTTCAGAACCTATTACATCAAAATAGCAACAATCATGAACTAGATATATAGCAAATTTTATTTTAAATGACTCCTTTGCATGTGTATGCTAACATCAGTTGTCTTTCCTCATCATTCTCCACTCTATCTACTAAAGCAGGATGTCTCTCAGAGCTTGGAGCTTGCCAGTTCCAGCTAACCTACAGCTAGCTAGACTATTACAGGAATCCCAACTTTGTGTGCCAGGGGCAGGGATTACAGGCAGCCACCACACTTGCCTGGCTTTTATATGAGTTCTGGGAACCCAAACTACAACCCTCACACTTGCCCAGCAAGGTTTCTCCCAAGACCCTCTGATGGTAGAGACTGCACGTCTATTCCTGTGTAAAACTGCAGATTACTAACATACATGCAAGCACACAAGATCAGTCCACGGAAGACAAGTGAGACCTCAATAGGAGCTCTGTGGCTGTCACAAACTACTCAATGGTAACTGCCTTTTTGGACATCACAGAATAAGGATACAGGATGCTACTATTTGAGGAGACTGGAGAGAGGGTATACACTCTGCCCCCAAGGCTTTTTTTTATAGTATCTTATGTGTATGTAATTACTATAAAATGAAAAGCTAAAAAAATTAATCCAGTGAAATATTGATTACAGTTGTTTTTAAGGAAAAAATATAATATAGTATAACATACTCTATGGCATATAATACACTATATACCACAATGCATACTATATAATAAATTATATACACTGTAAAGGGCATGTCTGAAAATAAGTATGTGCAAAAGTTTTAAAATGTACACATTTTCCCTCAGGACTCTAAGGCTACAGATACTGACTAAAGTGTTCATTAGTTCTTCACCCAGTGCTACATTAGAGACCATCATCATTAGAGACAGACAAATTTACATGCTTCTTTATGTCTGTGGCTCTCAGCAGCAGCAGCTCTTGGCTGCCCACACAGCTCTGCAGCAGAGACTGCACAGCAGGCGCAAATGTACGGCTTCCATCCCAACACCAAACAAACTGAAAGCAAACAGCTCTTCTCCAACTCTCAAACTACTCCAGCACCTCACGTTCTCAAGCTCTGCTCAACTTCTCATCTAAAGTAGCTAGAACCTAGTTCACCTCTTCTGTGCAGTCCACAGTGACACCATCACTGCACAAACACTGCACAGAGCTATGTGCCCTGTGTTCCTGTCACACTGTGTGGAGCTATGTGCCCTGCATTCCTGTCACCATCTGAACTCCTGGATTATCTTGAAGGACTCCAACCTACCCTGCATATCTCATGCAGCCAGCCCTTCCACATCTGTGTCTGTGGTGGGACAGGCAAGATTTTTTTCTAAGTTTTTTCTCATAATATTCTGTTAATTTTAAGAAAATGATTTCTTTGCTTGTCTCAGTCTAACATTCTAGACCACTCTGCTGTTTTAAGCTCATCTAGAATAAACTCATACCTCAGTGTCTAATTTGTTGGCTAACTTCTTGGTGTTTAGAATTTTCTTTACAGTGGTAGTTCTCACCCTGTGGGTTACAACTTCTTTGGGCTCTCGACAGACCCTTTTGCAAGGGTGGCCTAACATCACTGTAAATCACAGATTTATGTTACAATTCATAACAGTAGCAAAATTACAGTTATGAAGTTACAAAATAAATAATGTTATGGTTGGGGGTCCTTACGCCATGACGACTGTAGTAAAGGGCTGCAGCGTTAGGGAAGCTGAGAAGCACTCCTCTACAGGCTCGTTTTGAGAAAATAATCTTTGTCATTCCTTCTGTGACCTCCCTTCTCACAAGGTTAGTCTGATTATCAAGGCTCCAGCTTAGGTCGGATTCCATGGCAAGAGTCATTACAAGCTCAGCCACTAAGCCCAATGGAGGTGTGACTTAGTCCTTCTTCATGAGGCCTCCCCAAGGACAGAAGTTTCCCATGACAGGCCTCAGAGAGCCCTGGACAGAGTAAGCAGCAGCTAACTACTGCAGCTGGGAGAACCACCTCAGCTGCAGCTGCTGCTCACTGCACACTGCATAGGCTCTAACTTACCAACAAAGAACGTTTCCATGTTCAGTCTCTCAATCAGCCAGTGGGAGACTTCAGGAAACTTCTCCCCCTAGTTCCCAGGCAGCTGTGCGGTACCAGCACAGACTCCCTGGGGAGCTGACAGAACTGCACTGAGCAGGTTTCTATTCCTACAGAGTTGTGCTTGTAAACAGCTGCCTCTGATCTCAACTTCAAGCCTCCCAGAGATGATTTCAGCCCTTCTTGGCCTACAGGTGTTTACCATGTCTGTGAACCCAGATACACCCTTGATGACAAGAGAGAAAAGTCTTCATTTCTATGTCTGTGTCTCTGGCACGTAAGAAATGATGTTGGGACAAGTTGTCCAGGTGAAGGCTCTGCACAGCAGGCAATATGACTAACTGCTTCTACAGCCAGCAAGGGCATCTCTGAAATTCCCTGAGAAACTACCGCTAATTCCAGGAAACTTTTACATTTCTTTTTATTCATAGTCTTTTTCCATGTTTTCATTTTTATTCACAAATCTGATTGTCATCTCTCACCCAGAATAGTGGGGGAGCCATGTTAGGGAGTTCAGGGCCTCAGAAGTTGGTGACCCCTCTCACACCTAACTTAGACACTGACGTCTGAAGGGCCAACTAAAGGCGTGTATTCTTACTCAAAGCACATGTGCCTGAACAAGGGTTCAACTGCAAGAGAGCCTGACATGCGTAGACTGAATGAGTCGTGTTGCTCACGCCCAAGACCCCAGCTGAGGCTCTCCTGTCTTCATGGCAGCTCCACTTCACACACAATCTTTACAAACAAAAGCAAATTCGTGTGACTTTCCCTCGCCCCAACAGAAACACCAACTTATAAAAAGATGGAGGAAAATGATCCAATACAGACTGCCAGAGGGTTTACTCAAGGCACCTAAGACTTGAGGACGGAAGACTTCGAGCAGTACTTGTCACCCCTATTCTGAAAATGCTCATCACCAAACCAGAAGGTGTAACTGAGAGGCCATTTCTCAAAAGAAACCCTTAGCTGAGGTAGAAGAGAAGACAAGACAGTGAGAACACTTACTGCTAACATAAGATAATTTAAACACAAACAACTTTTCAAAATTGACAGGAAGAAACAAAAAAACTGAATAAATCTGAATAAGGCTATAGATTAAATTAGTAATCAAAACACTTCCATGCATTAAAAAATATTGAGGGGAATGAAGGCAGTTATTACAGCCCCAGACCAGATTAAACTCTTCTCAAATGTTTCCAAAAAAAATACAAAAAGAGAGTACTAATTTGTTCTATGAAGTCAGTGCATCCTGATAACAAACTCAGAAAGGAAAAAGCAAAAAAAGGGCCAACACTGATGAGCATCCCTTAGGAACACAGGAGAATCTTCCAGAGCAAGTCTAGCCACACACGAGAAATGGTGTTGCGGTCAGATGAGAGTCCTGCAGGAAGCAAAGAAACTTAACTGCCACATCAAAAACTAATTACAAGTGTCACCGTCTACAGGCTAACAGGCAAAACCGTGATCCTCCTCAGTACACACAGAAGAACTGCGTGGAACTACAGATGACTGCCACTCGGCTGGCTTAGCTCTGCGAGGCAAAATAGCTCAGCAGACAAAGACCCAAGCTCAACCCTTGGATCTACAATGTGGAAGAGAGAACTAGATTCCAAGCTGTCCAAATGCACACTATATAATAAACATTTTTTTCAAAGATTTATTTATTTATTATATATGAATACACTGTAGCTGTCTTCAGACACACCAGAAGAGGGCATCAGATTTCATTACAGATGGTTGTGAGCCACCATGTGGTTGCTGGGATTTGAACTCAGGACCTTTGGAAATGCAGTCAGTGCTCTTAACCACTGAGCCATCTCTCCAGTCCCTATAATAGACATTTTTAATGTTAGGTCTTTTTCCATTCTGGAGGCTAGCTGTGGGTAGCTTAACCCCATTACCATGTGAGCAAGTTTCCTTCCCCTCCTACTCTTTTTCTATCACAAACCAGAGTCTGATTTGGTCAAATACCTTCCTCTGTGCGCAAATTCACTGGGGCATCTTAAAATTACTATTACAAGGAAATGTAATGTAAATTAACCTCTTAACTACATTTACTTGCTAAACTCACTTATTGACTCTAATTGTTTTGATTGGAATCCTTGCAATTTTCTATATGTAAGTCCTCTACAGAGGACATGATTTTATGTCCCTGTTGGCCTACACCTTTGTTATGTGTCCTGCCTGAAAGACTCCTCCAGGGGGGAGACCCAGGAAGGACACGACCCCAAAGACACTCCAGAGACCTCTTGCTGTAATTACATGAGTCAGGTCCTTTTTAATATACGAAGCTTCGGGTCGATACGTGCCTCACACAGGAGGTAGGAGTTATCGACCCTGAGACCTAATAGCTTAGGGTTTATATAGGCAAAGGCTGGGGGGAGGGAGAGGGTTGTGGGTAATCACACACAATTGGTTATTTCAAATGTCTGTAATGTGTGTAAGCAGATCCCAGGCAGAAGTTTGACAAATCTCACGAGAACAGTCTCTGTCCCTGTGGCCTTGGGACCCAGTGTGAATGCTTATCTGAGCCAACAGACCATCTGGCTGAATTTAATTCACAAGTCCTTGGACTTCTGGTGGGAGTTTCTTCAGAGGAGGCTAATTCAGACACCACGGGAACAGATTCCCGGAACACTCAATTGACCTCTGTTTCTCTAGCTCTGCATCCCCTGTGACGGCCTTGGGTTAGCAAGCTAGCAGACCTGCAATTCTTAACTATTTGTATTAGTGAATTAAGGCTTCCTGTTATACTACTGATTTTAAACTAACTTAAAATTCCTCTTTCACTGCCCAGTATTCAGTACTAGAAAGTCAAAAAGAAATAGCACACACTTGCCTTTCCTGTTCTTGGAGAAAAACTGCTTAAATTTATTTGTTTTGGTTTGTTTGTTTTTGAGGTGAGGTCTCAGAAATCCTGGGCTCAAATGGTATAGTAGCAATCTTTAGCTGATTTTCTATTTCCACATGTATTGCTTCCAAGTTGTTGCTATAACAACACATTCTTCTCTCCATTCAAAGAGCTTCTGGGCATTGAGCCCTCAAGAGAAAACTGCTCACAAGAGACAACTACCCCAACAGATAAGCAAATTGCAATTTCCACACATGATGCACTGACGTACATAGAAGCAGACACTAAAAATAAATAAGTATTTTAGGGTCAGGAGCTGGGAAAGAGGGGATAAAGAGAAATGGCTCAGAGGCTAAGAGCTCTTCTAGAGGATCCAAGTTCAACTCCTGGCACTTATGTGGTGGGTTCACAGCCATCTTTAGTTCCCAGAGACCTGATCCCTTCTTTTGGCTTCCATGGGTACCAGGCACACATGTGGCACACAGATATAAACCATAAATGTAAAATAAAGTAACTGTTAGAAAAGAAGTGGTTAAAGGCACCTGTAACTACAGACAGCAGATCCAGTGGCAGTCCCTCCTAGAGTCAGAACCCCTGAAACTGGAGTGATGACAGTATATGGCCCCATGTGGGTGCTTGGAACCAAACTGAAGTAGAAATTTTTGGTTTCTAAAACTCAGTCATGACACAAGATGTTTGTCTGGATGCTGTCTCGTGAAAGGGCATGTGATATTTTGCCGAAAACAGACACTTGAGGGGGCCTGTGATGCTTAGAAAGAACATAAACAGAACCCTGCAAACAGAGAGAGGATGCTCTTGCATTGCTGCTTCTTTGCTTCTTTGCTGGTCTTCACTTTGTAAAGAGAAACATGCTAAAGAACTTCTCATGGTACTCTGGCTGATTCTGGCCACTTCCACTGACTTGTGTAGATTTGGCAGAGCCTTGCTGTTTCTGTTGGATCAAGCAGAGCTGCCACTACTGATTTGTGTTTGGTGTTTGCTATGATTCCGGACTGCTGGTATCCTGATAACAAAGAGTAGAATTGCCACAAGGAACTATTTCTAAACAGGTCTACAACCACCTTTTCCTATAAACTGTCTTTCTCCCCTACTTTAGTCAGTGGACTAGAAAGGAGGTTGAAGTGTTTAAGAACCCTAAATTAAAATAGGTTTTGAAAAACCTAAACCTACATAGACAAAGACACAAATACTAAGGTCCTGTGCAAAAGCAGCCAACGCTCTGGACTGAGTCATCCCCTCAGTCCCATTCACACCTCCTATAGTTATATTATACTTCACAGGAAAAAAAGATATAAAAAAAGATGAATTTTTCATGCCAGCTGTTATTTGTAATTTGTTGCTACTTTTTAGTTTCTAACCACCAGATTAAAAATATAGGGCCCTTTGCCATATGATGCTATATTGAACAAAACATTACTGAATTATTCTGATAGCTCCAAATATCAAATAAACATACCTATTCTCTTTAATTTTCTCCAAGAAACAGTTTACAAGAGCTAACTGCTATTTGTGTTTAAAAGAAAGAAAGAAAGAAAGAAAGAAAGAAAGAAAGAAAGAAAGAAGAAGGAAGGAAGGAAGGAAGGAAGGAAGGAAGAAAGAAAGAAAGAAAGAAAGAAAGAAAGAAAGAACGAACCAGTTGAATTATTAATAAACAGAAATGAAGTAACTGACTCGTCAACACTGTTTCCCTGGATGTTACCAAGGCCAGCACACAGATCAGCTTCCTGAGAGAACATCAGAGCGCTGCACTAACCTCTCTGTTGGGTGTGACGTCATCGAGCTGGTCTGTAAATGAAGATGTTCTGCTTCTAGTCCTTGTTGGTGTCGAAGAGCTGGAGGAAACCTACATTTAAAAATGATTGTACAAATTAGAAGACAGCAATGACCACAATGCCCTGAGGCGATTCTTTTCTCATTCCATGCCCAGGAACGCAAAAAAGAAAAGGGACAGATTTAAAAAAACAAGGAACAATAACTACAACAAAATCAACTACAAGACTTAGCTACTAGTCAGCAGGTCTTTGACCCGACCATCAATTTAGCAGAATGTTTTAGCAGAATGTAAGATAAGGGTGTGGCTATATTTAGGATGATATAGTATTGGAGGAACTGAAGCCCAGGGAAGAGACTATGAAAACTGTACTATCTTTGCTACTTTTCTATAAAGCAAAATGATTCAGAAATGTAAATTCATTAACAACAAGAAGGTTATCAATTTCAACTTTAAAGTCCTGGAAACATTCAATACTATGAAATTTACAGTTAAATAGCAGGGCCCACCTCTCTAGTCAGAAGCCTTTCTCTGAATCTACTTATACAGCACAGCTGGTTACTGAGATGCTAATAGCCTGGTTACCAGAATTATCAACCCGGACAAAGACACAAATACTAAACCTGATGTCTGAAGTTTACTCTCCTGTGAGCTAAAAGCAGTCCTGAAAGTATGAAACCAAAGCCTCAAGACCCTCTGTACTTGTAAAATAGCTCTGACCTCACTCACTGTCTGCTTGCTTCCTTACACTTTCACATCTACATAGCTTTACAGAGAAAAAAAAACATTTAAATACATGCCTGTCATCCACATAAGCAAACAAGTGGACAGATAGAACTCTAACCTATGTGTGAGCACACTGTTACAGTCAGGGTGGAGCTGAGGTCATGAACACAGTACACATGCATACAAACGAGCACTACACATACACAGAGAAACAAACACGTAAGCTACACCTCACATCAGGGCACATGTTGAGTGATCAGTGTGGACACAGTTGGCCATCCACTCTGGACAAAATAGGAATGTTCATCTCTGAGCAGGAGTAATGTTTATGTCGAAAGCAGAACTGAGAGTGAGTTTAAATGACAAGAATGACACAACTACATACCCACGCTTAATAACTTTTTTCAATAAACAGCTCTCATAAGGCCCTAGAAACTTACTAGCTCAGTCCTGCCTTTATCTGCAACAGGGAACTTGAGATCTATCAGTCATACCCACGTGAGGCTGAGTCACAAGTAAGAAAATAGACATGTAAAGTTTAAGGTCACCCTTTAGTAAGCATAGGGACAGACCTGCAAACAGCCAAGGGACTGCAGTGCAGTGGGAGATACCATGCTGGTGCCAGGTGTGAGTATTTGCAACATTTTTATTAAGAGCCCAGGATGCAGCAATTGGTCCAGGCTACAGAGCCCTTTAGAAACTGTCAGGTACCAAGTTTTTATAATAAATTCCTCTTCCTCTTGCCTAAACTGAATTCTAACACATGCCCCTTCTAACAATGACCTGAAAATCAGCATACGATCCACTAAAATCAGCTATGTGGAAGTCACCTTAGGGGATAAGATATCTTCTACCATTCAAGACAAGACAGCATGAACCAGGACATAGAGTTTTAAACAGGTAAAAAGATGAATCTGACATAAATCTTTATCAATGGCTTAAGCATCTAGAATACACATAACATAACAAAGTCTGTGTGTTTTACAAAAGGCAGCCACTCAGCCCTGCTTACTCCACAGACAGCTTTCATCCAAGTCGAGGGACACTGGAGAGCTGGGCAAGGTGCCTGCTTTACAAGCACAGAGGCCTGCGTTTTTGGATGCTTGGCATGCATGTAAAATGTGGGACATCACGGTTTGCATCTGTAACTTTTCTAATACCTACAGCCAATTTTCAAACCAAGCTGGCTGCAAAGGCTGGGATACTACAGAGGCTACCACTAGGAAGGGAAGAGTTCTTTGCTAGACTGAGGTGATAAAACATTAGAAAGGCAATTAGAAATTACTACTGACTAGAGGAAATGCTTCTTGACCAACCAATTCCCTGCTGTGATTCTATAATGTTTACGAAACCTTTGGGTTATTAATTCAGCTCTCCAAATACCCAAATGCCAAGAAAGGACCAGATGCCAAGACCTTTACTCACTGAAAAGTATAACTCAATGTGAATTTTAAAATGGGCCTTACATCTCGGCCTCCTATGAGTCTGATCAGAAGGCTTCATCAACTGTAGATAAACATAAAACAAAGTGACTTAAATTGTTAAAGGTATACACAGATGAAGAATGAATACTAAAACACCCTGTGGCCAGAAAAGTACAGCATCTGGCGACATTCAGCCTAATCGCTGATCACTCTCTGAAGCCACAAGAGAGTCACAGGAGAAGTGGTGGTCTCTGGGGGCCTGGAGTTTAATGGGCTCTCTCACTTAGAGACACATATGGTTTTAAAGGGCTGGAGACAGAGTTCAGTGATAGAGCACTTGCCTAACATGGGCAAAGCCCTGGATTCCATGAGGTTGGGGTGTGGTGTGTGTGTTTGTGTGTGTGTGAGCTATTTGCTAAGAAAACAGGTGCTGCTGTCCAGGCTCGAATTCGTGTCTCAACCCCTGCCAGCTCATCATTAGCTGACCAGAGGCCTCAACTTCATATAAGAAAACCCAGTCTACTGGGGTAGGTCCCGTATGACCCATGCCCTGTGAGTAACATATCACTCTCACAACTGTATTTCCATAGAAGGAAATGGGGCTCTGGGAGCATAATTTTTAGCTGAAAATTAGTCCACTCTAAATTTAAAAAATAAAAAATAAAAAAATTACCCAGGTAAGTTTAACTGTTTACATAAGCCCTTCAAATCCTGGTCTACAGGACAGAGACAGAGGCTAGAGACCTGTACTCTTACTACACTGAATAAAAACAAAAATCTACAGGAACACATAGCAAGAACTGCTGGCAGTCTCCAGGAACTGAAAGCCACTCTGCAATGGCCACAGAGAGATCAAGACCCCCAAGCACTGACTGAACCCTACCATAACCACATGGGCAGGAAGGAAAGAAAACAACCTGGACAACACCTTGACAGCCTTCTAACAGAGATCCGGTTCTGACCAACAGAACCCTCCAGTCACTAGGCTAAGAAGCACTAAAGCTGTGGCAACTTCTTCTCGGCATGTGAAAACGAGCAGGGGCCTTCGGAATGCTAAGCTTTGAGTGCCTGGCCCTGTCTTTTGCTTTTCATGGTCCATCAGAGGCTCCTCAGGTGTTGCTCTAAGCCTCCTCATAAATACTTCCCCACAGGCATGTAAGCACCTTGTGAGCACCCGTCTCAGCCATGCAAGGCAAATGTACATCCAGTGCAGCACCTTGTAGGCCTTGTTAAGTAAAAACATTGTTGACAACTACAAAATGGCTTCTTGTAGTTTCTCACTTTTGGTCTTGACAACCAATTTGAAAGGTGCAAAGAGCACACAATATCATACCCGATTTCCTGATAAGATTAGATGCTCAGAATGTTTACATGGCTTGCCCAGGTTAGACACTTCAAGAACTAGGTTATCACACAGACCTTCTAACTCCCTGTCTACCTTACCACTTCGAGTTAGATGATGAGCTCTCGAACATCTCTGGGACTCACAGTAAAAATCATAATAATGATGTCGCCATACTTCTACCCAATTCATAGAGACACCCCTAAGACAAAAGCTTTTACCAACTTTGTTTTAATTAGTGCAGGGTATAGAGGCTAGTCCTCAAAGCCAGGTGTTCAACATCTAGCCAATCACCCTACTGTTGAGCTACATATACAGTCTTCATAGCATGTAAATTTTATATCATGAGATATAGTTCCTTTTTCTTTTTTTTATTCTTGACTCATAAACACATACAATGAAACACGATCACATCCACCATTCGTTTCCCCTCCCCCATTCCCCCTCTGTGAGGCATCCAGTGAAGTATGAGAAGCGTATAGAAGACCTTCACCGACCTGTGAGGAAGAACTCCCTCGGATCCCCCTTCTCCGGGAGCTATCAACTGCCAATAGCTGTTCACTGAGGGGCTCCTGGAGACCCTCCTCTAATGATCTCTGTCTTCGAACCTGTATTCTCATCACACACAGAGGAGACTTCCAGGCACAACTCACAAGCCAGCTGGAGTACTTTCACTGTGTCATGCTCTCTCTGTAACCTCTAAGCTCCTCTATCTGGCAACCAACTCTCAAATCTACATATTTCAATGTATTTCATATTTTTAACTATGCTTTTAAAAAGAATAGGAATTAAAAGCATTAATCCCAGGTTGAACAACATATTTAAAGATAGCAAACCCACAAAATTTGAATATTCATATTAGTAGGATATGCTATATTTAAATTTACTGTACGAGAGGCTGCATTACCTGGAAGGTTCACAAACACTCAAGAGTAAACTGTTAGAAAAACAGATACAATTCTGCACTTTCAGATCTCTTTAGGTATCAGTGAAGTTTAATTATTGTGAATTAGTAACTTTCTGAAATCAACTAACCCCAGCTTTCTAAGAGAAAAGGAAGCAAGATTCACAGTATGTTTTTGGTCAGCGAGTTACTACGGAAGTCCTCTCATCTATTACAGCCCGCCACTAGGAGCCGGACTGCTCTAATTATTGGAGCTGTAGACGAGTATGAGAGTCCTCAAAACAAGGGGTTTTCAATGTTTTCTCCTGAGCATTTATAGCAGCTATGGACTCACTAGCAGGATGTTCATGACATGAACCTTTTGACTTAGCTCCTGCCTCTCAAGTTCTGCCGGAGCAGATGCACTGTAAGAAACAGGTATGGCTTTAGGCTGGCACCAGCATACAGCACACCTGCTCAGTAACTACACACACACACACACACACACACACACACACACACACACACACACACCTAGGCTGGGGACAGGCCACTGGATCTTTCCTCATTACAGCACTGCTCCAATCACTGTGAATCAACTTGGCATTCCAGTTAAGGGTTACCTACCATGGACTTAGTTTTCACACAGCATCTACCTTTCAGTCACTAGTGGGAGCTTTTCAGCATGCCCTTAGTG